ATAATTAACGTCATACCTTTAAAGCAGTGAATGTCCTTGACTATGAGGAGATGACCAATCAGATTTGTCATTACCAAAACTTGTAGGCTTTGAGAATCGACCGTGACCAGCCTTAGGCCTTTCAACTTCTTAGACGGACAAATAAAAATTGTATAATTTTTTTTTTAAAGATTAGACACCAGAATGATGTGGTGGTTTGCTATAAGTTTGTGTAATTTTTTTGTTTGTTTGTTCACCGACTCGTTAAAAAAAAATCATTGTACAATTATTACAAACGTTACGGCCACCATCTTCACTTTCATCATTATCGAACACCCGCTTACATCGTAATGAAGGATTCACTTTACTTTTGTCAGGCATTGTATCTGTAAATTCTGATTTCAATTCAAACTATTCAGACATCCGTTAAAGGCGTTTGATCAAAGTGCTCTCCTTTTTTATAACTTTTTTTATACCGGTATTCAACACAGTTCATTTCATTTATCGTGTGAGATGTAGGAAGTTCATTGTTAACAGTCTTACTGATAGTCCCCTGTTATGACGACGGCTAAATGCTGGTAAAGTATTATCAATTTCGCCTCTTTGACATCGAATTTTATAGTCCACGCAGCTTGCTTCCAATAATATTCCAGGATTATTGTAATATAATCCTAGCAGGCTGCTTCTTAGGGAACTACGGGATTATTACAGTACAACTCTAGCTGCTTGCTTCCAATCAGAATGATGGGATTGTTAAAGTACAACTCTAGCTGCTTTCATCCAATCAAAATATGGGATTATTACAGTACAGCTAAAACTGAGCTTACCACTAGGATGTCTAAACAAGCTTTTCGCGAATTCTTTTTTATTTGTTTACCAATTTTATCTGCAGCAGCAAGAGTTATATTTTTTTAGTTAAAAGTTGCATGCTTTTTTAATAACAAAAAAAAAGATTAGCTAACTATAGTAATTCAGCGCGTATTGTGGCCAAATGGTATATTTATTAGTTCATTCATCACGCCGTATTGAATGACATGATTTTAGTATTCGAATACACCGACTGCTGATTCAATTCTTTCGATAATGTGCAAAGAAAGACCTCATCTAAATGTTTGACATAACTCTATCCCAACAACTTACCATAGCTTTGCAGAGCTCCCTATTAAATTAAAATTGACCTATCACAGACATGTCTCCATTACGGTCGACGAACAGTAGCTGTACACTGGGAAGTGATATCCCAGAAAACAGCGAGTAAACTGCCGTAAATGCATTCAAATCTTTCGAATTTCAGACGAGGATTTCTGTTTCTGTCATTCATTCAGCACGGGTTTAGATACGTCAGTTCGACATGTTCTCCGTTTATTACCTTGCTCGTCATATTTATGTATCATTTTGAATGATAATTCAATTTGATGTGTCATTGAAATGGTATAAGGGATTTAATTTATGATAAAATTTATCGATGATATATTCCAAAATACTGGTGCTAGATATCAGAGAATGACTTGTTTTAAAAATGATCTCAATAAAAAAAAAACGAATACGGAAATGGATCAGCTGAAACCGGAAGTTTTCATAAACTCCTAGAGCAGTTTTTGTTTCAAGATTATTCGCAATGCACAGTAAAATGTATTTATTAATGTTTATTTCAATAAAAGTTTAACGCAAATTTTGCATTAAATTTCTGTAACAGCTAACAATATATTTGCCTACTTTCAACCTTCATATAAAACAATGAAACATTGTCAACCATATAAAAAATTAACAGAAGAACAATTAAAGGAAAACACCAGTGCATATATGAGCATCACGTATTTTAGTAGATTTATTCAAAGTTGTTGAAAAAGGACAAAGGCTTTACCTCGCGGACATTTCACATATTCACCATCACTAAACATTACGTCATCGGATAGTCTGGCAGATTAATCACCAGCAGTAAACACTGTGACGTTAAATGGTATCATTCAGTCTCGACCCTTGGACGTCGCCTGACAATATGCTTGGGGTCAGTGAAGAACTTGCGCCTTTGCATTGCTTTGTGAACTTCCCCTACTTTTATTTTATATATATCACTTAAAAAAATTTAAATATAATTTATTGTGATCGGACTAGATTCTCATTTTCGTCTCACTCTGACTACATAAAAGCCACATACAAACTAGGATTTATTCTCTTTATCATTCAAGAATACAATGTCGACAAATCATTTTCATTTTAGAAATTACATTATATATAAATAATGTCCACGTTGTTTTTTAAAAAAAATGTCCGTACCACTTAACATTTCAATAGCCGTTTCTTTAATTTCTAGAAATATTCTTTGTTAACCTTCGCAACAATTTGGAAAAATCTTATTAAAGTGTCACTTCACTAAAAAGTTTGAGAGCGGCTGGTATAATTAAAGTAAGAAAACCTTGTCTTTTGTATTATCTTGAGGATGTTATTTCATCTGCTCGTAATCAGTATGTTGTTGTGACCTCCTCCAGATTCGAATGACAATTTTCCTCTGGTTCTCTTGAGAACTTCAGAAATTATCCTAGTTTTTTTGTTTTTTTTTATGTTTTATTTATCTCATTTTAGAATTCGGTACTAGCAAATGTACTAGCAAATAAATATTGTTACAATTATCGGATGCTTAATAATTTTTTATTATACGGTGACTCCATAAAACTGCATAAAAAGTCTACAATATCTTCACTAAATGTCTGCAGATAAAAGGATTATAAGTTCGAAATAAATGAAAAATTAAATATTGGTAAATCAATTTCAGCCCAAAAAAAGATCATTTCAATTTAAACTTTTCGTGGGATCTTTTTTGTAAATTTTGTTTATTTTTTTGTTGAGCAAAAGTCTGACTCTAGTTTTATTTTAAATTGTTCAAGAGCGAAGGTCTGGACTTGCCTCAGAATACTTGTTTCAAAGCGGACGTCTGAAAATAAAGTTTCTGTAAAATTAGCTGACCTCTGAACAGATTTTATTAGCTACAAAAAAGTCGCGGAATTTCCAAAAAGGTTTAAAGAGCGTCAAAAAAAGTCTTCTTTACTACGAGGATTTAATGTCCATTTGCCCATCTTTAGTCACACAGAATCCAGTGGTGGCTCAATAGCAGTCTGCTCTGGGGGCTCTTCTTCCTCTACTTCATCTTCTTTGTCTTTTGCTTCTTCGTGATCAGATTCGTCTTCATCTAGATTTTAAAAAATGACAAGTAAATGGATGAGGAAGTTTAAAATGGATAATTCCATCTTGATTGTAAATGAAGGCAGAAATTAAAAGTTTCGACATACGCATGGTGGCTGCCATTGCTTAGTTCTTAATAATGTTGCATTTTGATTGTATCATTGTTTCAAGACAAAGATTTTTATTCATGTACTGGGTTATATAACTTTCGCTTTCGGCCGAAAGTCTTGTGAAGCTTTTGCTTTCGGCGTTGGCTTCGGCCGTAACTCATTTTTACTTTCCTTTTGGTTTCGACTTCTATAGCCCACTTCGTTTCTAGTAGTTCACTGCCAGTTGGCAATGGAGTCACAGCAGTCTGAAATTCTGTCAATAAATCAGATATTTCAATGTGTGTTCGGTTCGGGTTCGGTGCGATTCCCATTTCTATAAACACTGCCGGAAAAATGTACTGCCACGTAAACTAATAGCTGCCTGACCAAAGCGTTTTCAAGTGGACTAATGGCTACCCGGTCAAAGTGTTCTCATGTGGACTAAATGGTTCCTGGTCAAAGTGCCGCCATGTGGACTAAATGGTTCCTGGTCAAAGTGCCGCCATGTGGACTAAACGGTTCCCTGTCAAAGTGCAGTCATGTGAACTAAACGGTTCCCAGACAAAGTGCAGCCATGTGGACGAACTAAATGGTTCCCAGACAAAATACTGTCATGTAAACTAAACGGTGCCAGGACAAATGACACGTCGACTGTGTCTGGCATTACTTAAAAAATAAGTACGGACGACAAGAAACGTCTTTTGTGGATAGCACAATTTCCGTAAGATCGATACAAATGTACATGGTTATATATGAAAGATATGAAGCACTAATCATAAGGTGAATATATATGTGGTCAAAGCCATAATAAAAACAAGCAACATAGACAGCGACGAGGCCATGACAGGCAATTCAGGCTCATACCAGCAAGAAGCCAGTATAGGAGCTGCTCATTCCTGCCCAAGACAATCAGGGACTGGAACCATCTTTCAAAAGGAACAGTTGAGGCGACAACACTAGACACATTTGTGTCTATTGCCTCAAGCCTTCAAACCCCTAGTGCATAATTTCCTCATCACCACCAGTAACAGAAACATTGCAAATCCCATCTACATGCATAGGAGCCAAAATGATCAATACATTGATCGTGGGCCCTTAAGATATAGAAGAAGAAGAAGAAGAACATCTGTGCATACTGTATTTATTACTGAATATTACGCAAGAAAAATACTCATATATGGCCAGCTGTTTTTGGGCCCTGAATTTGAGAAAGTAGTTCATAATTTGTCTTCGTTTTAAAAGTTTATTAACCAATGCGAAAGGAATAGGTTTATATAAATTATAAGAGAGACACTAGTGTGGTCAGACTGGCATCTTAAGAAATCCACTGACCAAAGATCGAGGGTCAGCAGCAATATGTGCCCATCTGTGATCGTTTTCTTTTCCTTTCCTCTTCATAATTTGTATTGAATGGGACAAAATGCATCACTGGCTTTTGAAATTTAAAAAAATAGACCCCCACCCCACTGCCCCCCCCCGCCATATGTTATTACTGTAGTAAGGAAAATGTTTCCTTTATAATTTGTAATGGTCGAAAATTGTTTTATTTACGTATGGCTATATATAGGTGTAACACAATGTTCTCTGTTAAATATATAGGACCTGTTATAACGATGGTTTCGCTTTAGACACCCCCCCCCCCGAAAAAAAAATCCAGACAACCGATACCGTAAACATCCTCTTCTGCTTTCCGCGCGGCGGCGAAGGATCTTCTCCAGCGTCTACGGAAACAGACGAAGATGAGGATCATGGGTCCGATGTTAATGACGACGGGCAAGATGTAAATCATATATCGAAAGAGATCCGTCGTGCCCTCTGGGGGCTTAGGGCTCGGTCGGGTGTGTTTTTTGGTCACGGGGACTACTCTGGTGTTGTCGTTCTTCTGGGTTGTACCATTCCCACCCGGTGGCCTCTGCGGTTGTTCTTGTTTTCCAGTCGTTACTCTCCCCAAATTCGAAAGGGGGTCATCCGTTTTTTCAGCCTCTTAAATTTTTTTTTGTTGAAAAAATTAATTATGAAAACAGTTTTTAAATGTCACATATTTACATAACAGTAAAGCAAAAATCCATGAAGATTAAACTTTTCAAGAAACCTTATAGTTCTGATTCTACCTCCATGGAGACCAGCCCATAGTCATGTAGTCGGCATACTATATTTAATTTATAAGTGCTATACTCAAAACAATAGACAAAATCCAGGTAGGTAAAAGAGATTGCCAGTGCATCTTAGGCCACGCTGAGAAGGCTTTTGTGAAAATCGGGACCGCGCATTCACAGCATGGCCATCTCTGGGTGCCAAAGCTTGGCTTAGTGATCACTTCCTTGAAGTATAGCTAAGCGAGTGGGTGGAAAAACATGACCATGGCAAGATATTTCCAGAACGAACCTTGTTATGGAAATTAAGATGCCAATAGGACAGTACGGTGATACAGATGAGAACTGATGTTTTTTTCTGCCAGATCCATAGCCACTTACGTAGGCTTTAACTTTCCGAGAAACCCAGACTGCAGCTTTTGTTCTCTGGCAGAAGAATCCGTTTACCATGTTTTGGCTGCTGCAAGAAGGATGAGTTGAAGTGGGGGCTGTCTTCTAGTCTACGCACGTCTTCTAGCTGTTGATTATTATTGATTAGTGCCCAGCAGACACGCGTCTCTAGTGACCAGCCTGACTTACCTTACCGCTACAACCGACCCTTTTACCTGACCCGTGCTACTGCCACTAAACTTCAACATAAAAGTCAATGTCATAAAAAAATGTATAGAGCTACCCCAGTAAGAAAACTGTCTGCATATTGCACTTTACACTCGATGTTCCGCGCACTGTTAACTCTGTCATCCACATTACCCCGCCCGCAGTAGAGAGCCACATCACCCAGAATACCTACCGGGATTACAGGTTCTGCAGCAAATCGGAATATTTGAGGTGACAGAGCAATGCCCCGATTCGCAGCCCGAGATCTTGTCACCATATTCACAGCCTGCATCAGAAAGCAAAGAACAAAATATCACTTGGTTTAAAAGGTAAAATTTAAAAACAAAACAGTATGTCTGTAGATCAATGTTTCCCGGAGTGTGGTGATTGTACCCCTGGGGTACGGGAAGCGTTTGATGGGGGTACGAGCTGCAAAGGGGAAAATACATATTTTTCAATTAATTTTTTTTTAACGAGGAGTAATTCGTGTTCAAAAAATTATAGACAGGAATGCACAGATGTCGAAAGTTTGGGAAACACTGCAGATTGGCTGATCTTGTGATGTGCGTCACTACTAGGTGGATCAGCTGTCATTACTGAATATCATAGAGAATTATTCCCGTGATGTGGAACCGATTCAGATTTCCACATTTAACATAAAATAGGCATGGTGTTTTTTTAGGACATGCACTGAATTCACAGTAGCTGTATTATAGAAAAATGTCAATTGGCAGTAGTTGTGTTAAAAAAACATGTGAATGCAGTAACAGAAACATGTGTATTGATTGGATCATGAATGTACTTGACACTTGACGTGATAAGGTGCTGACAGTCAAACTAGTTAAACATATATAAATAAAATAAGATTTTGGTTTCTAAGCCATTGGGATTAAGTTTTCAAAAACAAAATGTTTACAATTACCGTCTTTTAGATAATTCTTATTCAAGTGACAAACTTAGTTAAAGGTCAGCAGAAGTTTCATTTCTTTCCTTAAACGTTCAGGGAACAGGTAATAAATGTTCCCATTGGTTCCCCTAACCTTTCACTCCTCGGTAGCGTTTTTTGCACAGATCACAACAGTAAGCCAGCACCGTGTCGTCATAGCAGCCGCCCGCGTCAAATTTGATGTACTCGCCACATTTCATGTTGTTGCTGACGATACCCGTGGAATCTCCGAAAACACAATTATCTGCGGTTTAAAAGAGCGGGTGTATTGCTGTTGACAAATCGACAGCAGTGTAATGGTTTTTATGTGAGAATGGAGAGCAGCAGAGTGCAATAGTCAGAGTGAGAATCAAGAGCGGCAGAGTGCAGTAGTCAGTGAGAATGAAGAGCAGCAGACTGCAGTAGTCAGTGTGAAAAAAGGAGGGCAGAAGTGTGCAACTGCTAAGGTGAGAAAGAGCGGGCAGCAGAGAGCAACTGATATGAGAATTAGAGGGGATTAGAGTGCAAGTGATCGTTTGAGAGTGAGAGGATAGCAGAGTGCAAGTGATGGTGTGAGATAACTCACGATCTATTTTAACTGTTAACCCGTCATCATCTTTAACTGTTCTGCGTTCACTGATAACAATCAAACTTCTTGTAACTAATAACTGACTTCTACTTTTAGAGGATACCACACCATCTACATTAAATGATAACTCACCATCTACTTGTGGTGCCTTCTTGTGTTTCACACAATCACCCTTTATGCACAACTGAAGACCAAATCATTATTTAAGACAATGACATGCTATGTTTAAGGCAGGCAACAACACTATATAGCCGGATCAAAATAATAGTTTTTACACGTCTTTGTGACAGGAAGAAACGATATATTACCACATCAAAATAGTTAAACAGTTCTTTGTGGCGGGATGCCTATAACGAATATACAAACTTGTATTAAAATTGAGAGACAAATTCAGGATAAATTTATCATAACTTATAATAATAATAATAATAATAATAATAATAATAATAATAATAAAACGTCTGCTATAGCGTGGTACCCTAGCCTAGGGCTGGGCTCACCGCGCTGTACATAAAAATTTTATCAAAAGAGACACAATCGTGACATTAAAATAAAATACATTTATGAAATAAAGAACAGCAATTTATATTCACCCATCCCACCACATAACTTTTACAAGGCAAACAATGGACGGCAGCCAGCAAGATCGTTTATCGGTCAGAGGAGGGGAATCGGTCAGGGTAGTAGAATTTAAAAAGATATGTTTTGAGTGCAGTTTTGAAGGCCTGGGTGGTTGGTATATTGCGTATGTTTAGTGGCAAAGAATTCCATTGTTTGGGGGCGCAGAAAGAGAAAGATCGTTCACCATATGTTTTAATGTGTGTCTTGGGAACGGACAGAATACTCGTGTCTGCAGAGGACACCCATAGTCTATCCTAAGGTGGTCATCATATTGCAAGCAGCCGTCATTACGGGACCTAATCGACCCACGTCTATCCATTATGTACACTCTCTTATATTATCAGCCACGTTTACCAAATTACTAACTGAAAATATCAGCCTAATAAATTTACTCCCTTGACACCAAAGGTCTCCAAAAGCGCAATCATACGAACGGCAGCGTCTGTTAGGATCTAGTCTTCTTGCAACGCCCTCTCACACACACACAATTCGCTATTTGGCTTACTCTCCCACAGGTGTGGGTGTTTTTGTGGAGTGGTTATGAAGCTGACACAAACACATTAAAAAATCAACTGTTTGCAATTCCAACCTTTCCATTGCCGCACGTCGTCCCTCTGGCCACAGGCATGGGGACACACGTCGTCGTACCGTGTCTCTTGCACGTGGCACTGCGACACAAATCTGCGTAGACAGTGTCCTTAGTCTGGAGAAACAGGGTGGAAATGGTCAGGTAGTGGTCCCCAAGTTATTACAGAAACAGGGTTAATTCGCCTTGAGGGTTTAAATAAGTCATTAAAGTAACACAGTGTAATCGGCCTGGTTGGGATCTGCCACTAAATTATTACAGTACAGCCAGTTGCAGGTTGGTATTTTAAAATAACGATTGTTGGTCTCTAATTTTGACAGTTTAAAATGTTAACGTGACATATAATGACCCTTTTTTGTCTGTAATGCATTTTTTTGAGGATTAAAATTATTTTCTAATTTTAGTGCGTTTTTACTCGTCTTTGATGGTACGTCTTTATTAATTTCTTAGAACTTATTTTTCATTTAGTCTTAAAACCCAAGCAATTGTCGAACTTGCCCACACCTTAACCGCCCACCCCATTCCACCAAGCGACACCCTGCAAAAACAGAATTTCTAGCAACATTCTACCCCTACATCATCCACCAACTTTTAACACAAGTGCTCCGTGCTTACCCTACAAAAAGACGCCCCAGAGCCAAAATTTCGTTCGCATTGCTTGTCTAAAGAAATCTCTTGTCCCGTCAGGCGATTCGCTACGTTGGGGACCTTTGCGTCGTGGGCCAGCGACTTAGTCAAACAATCTCGTACAGTCCTGCTAGGGTGGGAAACAGTCTTAGAAACATTGAGAGAAGACATTTGTTGTAAAAAAAATATTTTTTTTACCTTAAATTTAAGACGTATTGTAATCTTAAAGTTAAAATGGATTCAATATTAGTTTCTTGCCTCAGATTCATAAAGATTTGGACAAAATAGATTTTAAAAAATAATCTTAATCAAAATTATTATTTTTACAGCTAGGTAATTAATTTAAAAACAGCTTTGAAACCTAACAAGTTGTTGATGCTTTAGGTTAAACATAGAAAGATCATTAGATGGAGTTAGAATGGGAAAAAAAATTAATGTGCTCATTAATGTCGAAAACTTGTATCGACTTTAGCAGTGTGGTGGGTTTTGATTGGCTGGCATGGGGAACATACACAATTTTAAGTCATTTTGGGGTGAGGGAAGGGTGCTTATGTTGTTGGGGCTTTTGGGGTACGCTGAAGAATGCAGAATTAAGAAGTGTTCAGTATGGAAGGGGGGGGGTGAGTAAAGTCAAGGGGGGTTAAGGTAATATAGAGCTGAGAGACAGTGAAGTATGAGTGGCAAACACAAAGTAAGGTCTTTTTTATTTATTTGGAGGGTGGAAATACCGAGAGCATGATCACAACGGACAACATCTTTTCTACTATTCCTAAAAAAAAAAATTCTTAAATACTAAAAGATAGCAATTTTGTGTTCAAACGGTTCTCAAGGTTTTAGCAATAAGACATCCCCCAACCACACACCCAAACATTCTGGGAAGCTCGTTCTTACGGAGTCTTGATCGCATCGGTCAGATATATTTTAAAGTACTCGATGCTGCAGAGGGAAAACTTCCACGGGTTCAGCCTGGTCTCTGGCGTCTCCTTCGAGGTGGACGGCGCCATGATGTAGCGGTCCTCGGGGCGGCAGGCGTTGTTCTCACCGTCGTGGGCAGCGCCCAGGCTGCAGAGCATGATCAGAGGTGGTCACACTACAACTGTCATGACGCTCAGGGCGGTGCAAGGTGGATATGGTAAGGTGTTAATGTTTTAGACTGAGTGAGGTATTAGTGTTCTAATGTGTGTGCGTGTGTGGTGTCAGTGTTTTAGAGTAACAACGTATCTGGTATAGAGTAACAACGTATCTGGTATAGAGTAACAACGTATCTGGTATAGAGTAACAACGTATCTGGTATAGAGTAACAACGTATCTGGTATAGAGTAACAACGTATCTGGTATAGAGTAACAACGTATCTGGTATAGAGTAACAACG